TTTTGTTAAATAAATTTTATTTTATATTACACATTTAAATTTCTAATCCGATTTTTTTTAATTTATATTACTATATTGATATGTTGTTAGCCTTACAATTATTGTAAGTTACCAAGTCTCGCTACGTGGAAGCCAATATATCTCGAGACTCTAAAGGTGAGGAACATATTCGTAGGCACCAACCTGTACCAAGAGATCCTCACTCGTGCGAATTGAACAATAGCCTCAACAGGGTAAGTTGTAAGTTATACCCCAGGTCAGGCTCGGGGTAGTGCTCTCCCCGTTACCTTTCACAAGGATCGCTCGCAATCAAATCGGAATGACCAGACCGTCTACAGCTATGTATGGTCAATATCGCACGAGATTCAGAATCATCTCGTAGCAATATGCCCTGGAATACTTGGCTTCAGAGAACAAATCTCCTAATGGTCCCAACTGCCATGAAGAGGCGTATTCCTTAGTTGGGGTATAATAACACATCAATCCCAGATACAAACCCAGAATAAATTAATATATCATTTAATATCGACAATGTAATTATGATGTATTGGTGATAACATTTCACAAATTCGTAACTATGCGCCTAGAAATAAAAGAAAACATTAGAATGAATTAATTAAAGAAGAAACAATAACAAAAGAAACAAAAAACTAGAATATCAAATTTCCAAACAAGAAAATCTTCCGTTACAAATAAATTCTAATTCCAGAAAAAAGAAGAAATGTTTTGATCTATAAAAAAACAAAAAAGTTAGTAATGTTGATGAAATTCATAATACAATTAACAACACTAACGATAATATACACAAACAACAACAATGTATACACAATGATAAGAAAAACAATCACAATTTTTTTTTTAAAACCAAAAATGAAAGACTGAAGAAAAGAAGAATGTTGATTCCGAAGAAAGCAACTGCATTGGAACAAAATAAAACCTACCTAAGATCTGAAACCTGAGTCTACTAAAGAACGAGAAGACGTATTGGAACAAATGAAATTCAAAAATCCTAAAACGAGAAGAAAACATTAAAAAGAATCTGCAAAGAATGATTAAAGCTAAAAAAAAGACAAGAAAAAACATCAGATAACAAGAAAACATAGCTGTAGCCAATGTCCAATTCTAAATTGTCTATACTAATACCAATTCCAACTCAAAGAAGAAAAAAACTTAACGAAAGAACAAACGCGATCGAAAACAAGAACATTTACCGAAAGAAAGAAAGAATCTAAACATAAAAAAATGTTAGTTAAGAATGACAAAACAACATTCGAAAACATAAACTACAA